TTGACTACTACTAGTATCCCAGTATCAGTCTCATTAATGCTATATACAGAGATAACACCTCCCTGCTCTTACTCGAAGTACAGTCAGGGCCTATTAGACCCAGAGCTGAGGTCCTGTGGACTGTGGGGTGGGCAGTCCCAGAGGATGGGTCTCTTCTGACCTTTGACCTTGGGAATGTGGGAGGAGAAGAGCTGTGGCTAGAAACATCCTCATACCCAAGCATTAGATGGACTGAACCCTGGAGATGAAAGGCAGTCCCAGTGCATCATTCCCTGCTGCAGTGCTTCGTGCCTGAGGTCAGGACAGACTGAACACAGGGCCTGGTAGTGTGACTCCTGTGTCAGTGTCTCTGGTGTCTGGGCATGTGTCCCTCTGCACCCCTGTGTGCATGATTCCCTCCATGCGTGTGTGTGAGCCTGTGTCTTGCTGCAGTCACTTCCTGCCTGCGTCTGGCTGCAGAGTTGCTCTTTGCATGTGCTGTATGTTCCCCCGGGATGGGCAGAGACAGGCTGCATTGGTGGCAGACCCTTCTCAGGAAGTCCCCTGGCTCCTGCATCAGGGAAGGTCGTTCCTGGGCTGTCTCTGCTCTCTGAAAGCAGAGATTTTGTGCCCATGATAAGGCAGGAAGCCGGGCTGGATTTATGTTGCAGCCAGAGAGATGTAATGCAGACACACACATCTCCTCCTCCCCTGCCTCCCAGTGCCCCAGGCGGCATCTCCTTGTGTGATGCATCCTCCCCTCCCCCACGGCTGGCTCACCCCAGTGACATCATCCCACAGATTAGAGGGCAATCTCACTTCAGAGAGGCAGGAAATAGGAGCCCACTCCGCCCTTTGAAGTGCTGATCAGGTCAGTGACCAGGGACCTCCTGGCTTCTCCTCTCAGGCAGGGGGGCTGGCCCCTGCTCACAGGAATGGATCGCTTCCCTCAATGTCAAAGAGGAGCTGCTGCTAGTGTGGCAAATTTTACAAGACAGTAATTCCCAGCACAGCCTAGAGCCAGCCCGAAGCAGGCAAGCGATGTGCAAGTTCCTCACAATGCCCCTCAATCCTGACCTGCAGCCCTCCCCGCCGGCTATCCCCCTCCTGAGTGCGGGCAATGGATCAGGGGCAGGTGGGCTGCAGAACTGAAGTGTCACAATGAGAGATCCTGCGGTGCAGACACTAATCCGCCTGCAGTGGGAGTGCCCAGGCTGGCCTCGCTCCCAGCCACTCTCCTTCCCTGCCTTGTGCCAGCCCCGTGGCAGAGGAAAATGGGGTTGTCTCATTTCCAGGAGGAATTCCTGCCCCTGCTTGTCCCTGCCAGTCTCACTCACTGACATTTGCTGCTTGTTAAAGCCTCACAGCAGGAAACTACTCACTCTGCTGCCTCTGCCTCTCCTGGCTGTGGGGAGGGCTCCACAGCCTGGAGCAGGGAAGATTCCCAGACTTGACTTAAAGGTACATGCAGCAGCCTGCGGGCCCCACGGTTCAATCTCTTTTCAGCCTTTCTCAGTGACTGACCCACATCCCTTTCACACCTGAGTTGTGTCCTCCCTTTGCCAGGTTCCTTCCTTTGACTCTGATCCTGAGGAATGACATTGGGACCCTCTGGACACCATTAAATTAGGCTTGAATAAAGACTGGGAGTGGATGGGTCATTACACAAAGTAAAACTATTTCCTCATGCTTCTCACATTCCAGACCTCAGGACAGGCACTTGCCATTTTGTTTTTAAAAACTTGCCACAAATTTGTTTCTACCCTCCTCCCCCTC